ATAAATACCCTGCAGTGCTTTCCCATGGGGTGATGCAATGAATCATCTCCAAATTAAATCACCCCATGAAAGCCTTGCAGGAACCTCCTTCACATGACATTTTTAACATTCTCTCTGGAGGTTTCAAAGTCAAAAGCTTATGCATCCTGGAGCAGAGTGAAGGAGGGGAGGCACACAAAAGCTGGCTGAACCTGCAATAGGATTGAAAAAAATGTGCAAACAATGTTCTTTCAGATAGCTACTGAAATAGTAGTTAAGGCAATAGTAATTAAGGAACAATAGGTGTGAATAGACACTATTTTTTTTAATTTTACGCATCAGCTGAGAGCACCGAGTGTGACATTCTCCTCAGCTGCAAGTATAAGCAAACAGCACAAGCATTCGGGAGCAAATATAAGTTAGTTGTTAAATATCGTTGACAAAGTAACGCTTCCAGAAATGTGACATCAAATTCCCAAGGTAATTTTGGCTTGACATCATATTTCTGGAAAAAGAGAGAGGGAGAAAGAATGCATGAATACTAATTGAAACCAGTGACCAAAAACCTTAATAGCAAACTGTGAGCCTTTCCTAAGGCATATGGTGCTATCAGCCATTCTTCTTGCAAGATGTTTGTTCCCTGTTCTCAGTCTATTACCCTGCACACTCTGTTGCCTCTGTTTTAAAGATGGGGCCAACCTTTTTTTCCAAAGCACCTGAAGGCAGCACAAGAAGCACTGGGTGTAAACTAATCAAGGAGAGAAGTAACCTAGAATTAAGGAGAAGTTTCCTGACAGTTAACACAATCAATCAGTGGAATGACTTGCCTCTGGAAGTTGTGGGTACGCCATCATTGGGGGCTTTTAAGAAGAGACTGGACAGCCACTTGTCTGGAATGGTATAGGGCAGGGGTAGGCAACCTTGGCTCTTTTATATAGGGCAGGGGTAGGCAACCTTGGCTCTGTTATGATTCGTGGACTTTAATTCCCAGAATCCCTGAGCCAGCATGCTATTCTTAGACAGTGTCAAAATAAGTGGAAAAAATAGTACTTAAATTCCAGGATTTTTAATAATAACGTAAGGCTCTTACACTTAAGGACTGAAGATGAGATGAAGGCAATGTCATGGGGGCACGGCAGAAAAAAGAACATGTTTGTATTGTGGTTTGGTGCTTAGTAAGCTTAAGTCTGCCAAAGAGAATGTTGAACTGAGTGCAACCTTTTTCTTTCTTCTCTCAATGAACACATCTAGTTTACGGCACAGAAATAATTTCCATCAGTCCAGGAGCTGGTTTGGGAGGGAGCTACCTATATTTCCAATTGCTATTCTGCTAGGCAATAAAAAAAAAATAGAGGCTGTGTCTGCAAGAGAAGCAGAAGAAGGAGAGTTGGGCAGAAATCATATTTTTGGGTGCAAGTGACCTGTAGCTCTTCTGCGATCAGCTCTATGACCCTGCATTTAATAGGGTGCAGCTCCACTGGGGACGTGGCAGCTCAAAATAAATTTAATTTTTTTCCTGTCGAAAAGAAAGTGTGGTGGAGAGAGATTCTTTAGCTACTATTCAACTGTTGTACTGCATGGGGAGAAATAGAGCCTTTTTTTTGACGCAGCAAGATCTAGCCGCCATGTGGTCACTCCTGCCTTTGTGGCTTGTAGACTGGGCTAGTACAATGCACTTTACATGAGCTGCCCTTGAAATGAAATGCAAAATGCAATAATGTGGGGAGTTAATGGTGTCAGCTTTTTGGTGCATGTGACATCATTGCTTCATGAGTTGCATTGGCTCCCTTTGTGCTTCTGGGTGCAGCAGTGATGGTACTTGGGGAAAAAACTTGTGAGAAAAAATGAAGATAACCTGCTAAGTCAGAAATGAAAGAATATAACCTATCGCTGGCAAGAGGCTCAGAAGGGACTCTCCCTAGTTTCTCAGACTGTGAGAGAAAAAGTGGAAAAATTTTACTTGCATGATAGTGTAGCTTTTTAATAAAGTAGAATTAGTTTATCTGGTCTAGTTTCCTGTTTCATCTATCTAAGAAGACTGACATCAATTCAAGGTGCTGATAATCACCTTTAAAGACTGTCATGACTTGGAAGTACTCTACTTATGGGACCTTCTCTTACCAATTATTTCTACCCATCCCACTCATTTTATCAACTAAGGAGTGTCTGTTGGTGGGACCCAGAAGGAGGGCTGTTTTTACCCAGGTGTCAGTCCTGTAGAACATCATTTCCTCTGAGAGAAGATTAGCACCAACCTTGCTGGCATTGCCCAGACCTGGTGCCCCAGATGATGCGTGATGGAGCTCCTGTCTGGATTTTATATGTGGTTATTTTATTTTATGATGCTTGGCCTCTACATGTTTTTATTTCTACATTAGTTATATATCTGCTTTATATTTTATTGTAAACCACCCAGACTCATGTATGTGAGACGGGCCTCTATTTAAGTCAAATCAATATCTAACAGAGAAGTGATGTTGAATGGCTTCTTTGACATCATGTCTTCAATCCCATGGAGTGAGCAGTTAGTAGGGTAAACAAAAGACTTGTTCTAAAGGAGCTGTTTCCTGGTTCTCTTCTCTCCTGCCATTTTGGCCACATCCCCAGCAAAAAAAGAGGGAAAAAGTAAAGAAGGAGGATTAGAGAACTGAACTGATTTATTCCTCTTTTGTTGCTCTGATTCAACAGATGCTTAAATTAATTGGCAGGTAAGGATACAGTTTTGACATTTGCCTAGCTGTTTTCCAAGAAGATCAATGGATTGGGCTGTAGCTGTTCTACTGGGGCTACATGGGCAGATTTACCATGAACAGTGGCAGCTAAGAAGCCACTTCCCCCTATTTCTTTTTCCCCAACAGTACCTATGGGATGGGAAAACTAGTAGCAGAAAATTGCTTCCAATAACACTACACAAACACAGACACACATTTCTTGTCATCTCACTAGCAGCTCAGGAATCTCCTTTCAGAATATCTTGTCTTTTGCTCCACTGAAATATGATCAGCTTGGAATGGTCTGATTGAAAAATTTGTTTGAAGTTATTTTTTTTCCCTGAGCTCAAAGCCAAATGTATTTCTTCTTTCACATACATTCTATCTTTTGGGGGAAATTATGGATCCATGCACAATGTTATATAATGTAAAACATAGAATAATAGAGTTGGAAAGGTCCTTGGAGGTATTCTAGCCCAATCCCCTACTTGAGCAGGAGACCCTATACCATTTCAGATAAATAGTTGTCCAGTCTCTTTTTGAAAGCTTCCAGTGATGGAGCACCTACAACTTCTGAAGGCAAGTTATTGCCTTGATTGTTCTCAATTTCTTCTTAGTTCTAGGTAGCTTCTCTCCTGGGTTACTTTCCATCCATTGCTTCTTGTCCTGCCTTCAGGCGCTTTGGAGAATAGCCTCTCCCTCTTCTTTGTGGCAGCCCCTGAGATATTGGAACACTGATATCATGTCCCCCCTTGTTCTTCTTTTCATTAAACTAGATATATCCAATTCCAGCACCCCCTCTTCTTTATAGGAGCCCCTCAAATGTTGGAACACTGCTATCAGTGGTTGATATCTGTCAAATGTATGTATATTCTTTGTTGACTTCTAAATAGTTAACAATCCTGCTTTTCCCTTTCCTGATTCAACCAATGATTGCAAGGTTTTTCTACATAATGCTTCCACAGTACTTAATATTTGAGGAATTAGAAAATAAATTAAATAGAGAGTTCTGTTGAACTGCTCTCTGTTGTGTGCTCAGGCTGCAAGGTCATTTCTTCACAGTCATAGAGTAAGAAAAAATGTTGGAAGCAAGGAAAATGCACACAGCAAACAATGGGTTTATTTAATGACTGTGTCATTCACTTAATGACCACTATGTCCACCTAACAGCCACCACAAAAATGGTCTTAAAATTGGACAGTTGCATGATGACTTATAATTATAGTATTGAACATGTGATGCTTTATAACTACCATGTCTATTGAGTGTAACTACAGATTCGATTACAATCATAAGTAGAGGACTACCTGTATTCCATAACAGTGAGATTATGGAATGAACCTGAACCTACAAAAGTTTTCCCCATAGTTTTTGGAGTATAACAAATTAAAACAGTAAAATGAGGGTTATTTGTTCTCAAACTTTCTACCCAGTGGTGGGATTCAAATATGTGAACAACTGGTTCTCTGTGTGGATGCCACTTCCAGAAGTCCATTCTGGGCCTGGGCAACAAAAAAATAGCTACTGGTTCTGCTGAACTAGTGCGAACTGGCTGAATCCCACCACTGATTCTACCTATAAAAAACAAATTTGCTTAAAACTATATAAATATGATAGAGATATATGAATAATTTTTAGGCTTTGGGATATAGATTGAATTGATCCTAAATCACCACCATTAGCTGAACATTCTTCAGAAGAGTACATCATCAATGGGGACCATTGATTATAAACAATATTGCTCTCCAACACTGAAACAGGTTTCTTAATCCTGATTAAAATATAACATGACTTAACATTTGGAAATTTTCATTTTGTTAGCCAGTAGCATCACATTAGAAATTGCTTCTGACAGTCATTCCTGTTTAATTAATTTCAGTATCATGATTAAAAATAATTTATTTTCCTCAAAGATTTTCTTTTAATGCTCTTTGAAAAACTTTTCATTTTCACCTAGTTCCAAAGTTTTCACCTATGGAAACAAAATTATTAATTGTTCATAGCCTCTTCTATTTTTATGAGTGATAGTTCAGCTTGATTTTTTTGGGGAAAGTGTTTAAAGTGTTAAATGTAGTAGGGTTCACACCAAAGTTATTTCCTAGTGTTAGAAATTATTTTTGAACTGAGAATAGAACTATATTCTATTTATTGTAAATTAAAAATAACGATCTAACACCTTGTGGAACTCATGGAACAACAGAAATAGGATTTACGCTTTAAGGGCAAACTTGTAATTGTGAAACTTTGTAGAGTTTTTTAAATTATTCATTGATAGGTATAAGCAGAGAAGGCATTGTAAAAATTGCTCACCCATTGTCCAAATCCAGCATGGCATCACAGTGATATTGAGATGGTTGAATAACAGATCTGAAGAGGTAAAAACAGCAGAAATTTTGTTCATGTCATCTATGGATGGCAACTATTATCAGTTCAGTACAAAAACTGGATAGATGTGGAAATCGATTTTTGTGTGCAAGAAAACAATGATGACGAGAGAAGTTCTAATCTGAATGGATCTATTTGAATAATATTAATTTGGAAGATTCCTTCTTTCAGTCAAAACCCGCCTTCCGTATCTTAACTCCATTATTCTGTAACCTGAACTTTAGCAGGCTTGCTAGCATTTAGACCTTTTTTTTCTGTGTTATGCTTATAAGACTCAGCCAAGTAATATTAAGACTTTTGTACTTTGAGATGAAAGAAACAATTTAACCCTAACAAAAAAGTAATTACTTCTTTGAAATTTATATATTTAAATATGAATCATTTGAAAGTGTCTTGTGTCAATATACTGCATGTACCTCCTAATTAGTAAGATGGAGACAAAGAGTATGTCTCTTGATTTTAGATCCAAGCTTGCAGAGAGTAGTATGTGGCTTGTTTATATTTCTGCCCATTGTTGGATTGTATTTTAGCAGATTTGTTTTTTATTTCTATTACTTCTATTTCTATTACTATTGTTTCTATTAATAATACTTCTAATCAAGGAAAGAACCATCCTAGAACTAAGGAGAAATTTCCTGACAGTTAGAACAATTAATCAATGGACCAGCTTGCCTCCAGAAGTTGTGGGTGCTCCAATACTGGAGGTTTTTAAGAAGAGATTGGGTAACCATTTGTCTGAAATGATATAGGGTTTCCTGATTGAGCAGGGGGTTAGACTAGAAGACCTCCAAGGTCCCTTCCAACTCTGCTATTCTTTTATTGTGTTAAAATATATCCTTCTATTATTATCCAATTATTTCTATTCCTGGACATTATTGCTTTAGTGATTGAGAAATAAATAAATGAAATCAGTCAAGAAAAAAATACTTTTACTATTATTCTGTCATACTGACATAGTACTATCTTTATTAGCAGGGAATGGTACATGATGTGTAGATATGACTAAAGCTTATATTTTATCTATTCCTCGTCTATATTTCTAAGAAGCATTTTGTGAGACAAAACTGTAATGGCTGGAGAGATCAAATGAAGATTTAATTTAAGAGTATATATATATATATATATAAAATAAAGTGAGCACCAGGGTAATAAAACTATAAAAGTTTAATTTAATTTAAAAACGCCAAGCTTTCGCCGTCACCTGCCGACATCCTCAGGGCTTAAAACGCCAGAGAGTGAGAGAGTCTCTTATAAGCAAGCCGAAGTCTGCGCCCGGCTCCTTGATCTCGTCATCGGACCTAATTGGTTAAATTGTGCTCCGGTGTGTCGACGAAGTCTCATTCGTCATCTTCAGGCTGGTGCTTTCAGCTTCGTGCTTTGAGCAGCAATGTGTGGTCTTAGCTGTTTATTCCTTTTAACTGCCAGTGGGGGTATGAACTGATTGGGTGGGAGCTTGGCTGTGTTCTGATTGGGTGGAGGTGTGCTCTGAATGGCTAGGGGCTTGGCTGTGCTCTGATTCGCTGGGGGAGTGTTCTGTTTGGTTGTGCTCAGGTTGTGCGCAGGTGAGTTGCAGAGGGGTTTGAGATTTTGGGCTGCTTTGATATTTTCTGGCTTCGCGTTCATGGTCCTGCTTCCTTTTCATGGAGGGTGTCAGTTTGCTTCATGTATGGATTGGAGGGGTTTAAAGTGGCTAATGATGCAGCTGTGGTCTGGCTTCTGGTTTGTGGTCGTGCCTCGTCATCGGTGTGGCTTTGGGTTTGTTTTTGCGTGGATGTGTGGTGGTGACATCCTGTGTGGTTTTTGTGAGTGTGGGTCTGGCATCATTTTTTGTGTTAGGGAGTCGTTTGTCAATAAGGGCGGGTTTCCAAATGGCTGGTAGGCGGGAGGTATCATCTCGCTTGTTCATGCTGTGTGGGCGTTTTTCTATCTCGATGGCTTCTCTGATTATTCTGTTATTAAAATGTTCACTTTTGGCAATGGTTCTGGTATTTTTAAAGTCAATTTCATGTCCTGTGGCTTTAAGGTGTTGGACCAGGGAAGATGTTGGTTCCTCTTTTTTGACTGAGTTCTTATGTTCTTCAATGCGTGCACTTATTCTTCTGTTGGTTTGTCCGATGTATGTGGTGGGACAAGTGGTGCATGGGATTTCGTATACTCCTTGATTTTCTAATTCAATTTTATCTTTGGGGTTTCTAAGGATGGTAGGATATTTTTCTGTTTGTGCAGAATGCTGTTTTGATGTTGTGTTTATGGAGGATCTTACTGATTCTGTCTGTGGTGCCTTTTATGTATGGGAGGAGGGCTTTGCTGTACATCCAGGAAGGGAAGTTGGTTGTTAGCTTCTGTTTCCATGGTGAACTGTATTTTGGGGTGTAGGCTGTTGAGGTGTGTGAGGAAGTTGTCCAGTTTTTCTTTCCCATGTGGCCAGATTATGAAGCTGTCGTCTACGTATCTGAGCCAGAGTTTGGGTTTGTGATCCGATTTTTCTAGGGCTTGGGTTTCAAAGTGTTCCATGTAGAGGTTGGCAATGACAGGTGAGAGAGGTGATCCCATGGGTGCTCCTTCTGTTTGTTTGTATTTTTGTCCATTATAGATGAAGTATGTGTTGGATAGGCAGTGGTTGGTCAGATCTAAGATGTGTTTGGGGGGGTTATATTTGTTTTGGATAGCTGTCAAGGCTTCTTTGATAGGCACTTGGGTGAAGAGGGATATGACATCGAAGCTCACTAGTAGGTCGCTGGGCTGTAAGTTTTGTTTCTTTATGATCTCTATAAACTGGAATGAGTTTTTTTACGTGTGAGGTGATGGATTCTGCATAGGGCTGTAGTTGTTTGGCGAGAAATTTGGCTAGGTTTTGTAGAGGTGAGCCTATGGAGCTGACTATAGGTCTGAGTGGGGTTCCTTCTTTGTGTATCTTGGGGAGACCATAGAGTTTGGGGCATCTGGATGATTTCTCTCTGGGAATGATTCTTTGCTGGATCTCTTCGCTAATGGGGGAGGCTTTTATTTTGGATTTGGTGGTTGGAAAAAAACCTACACCCCAAAATACAGTTCACCATGGAAACAGAAGCTAACAACCAACTTCCCTTCCTGGATGTCTTAGTCTACAAGAAATCCAATGGCTCCCTAGGACACACCATCTACCAGAAGAAAACACACACAACCGCTATCTGCACGCTCTCTCACACCACCACCCAGCACAGATCAACTCTGTAGCCAAGACACTCATCTCCAGAACAAAACGCTTAGCTGACGAACAACACCTAAAACCCGAACTACACACTCTCACCAATGTACTAACATCCAATGGATTCCATAGAAATAAGATTACAAACCTAATCCAAAAAGAAACCCCCACTAAAATCCAAGACAAAGAACAAGAAAATGGCAAAGCCCTCCTCCCATACATAAAAGGCACCACAGACAGAATCAGTAAGATCCTCCATAAACACAACATCAAAACAGCATTCTGCACAAACAGAAAAATATCCACCATCCTTAGAAACCCCAAAGATAAAATTGAATTTTGGGATATAGTTGACGAAATCCCAAACACCACCACATACATACAAACCAACAGAAGAATAAGTGCATGAAGAACATAAGAACTCTTCAGCCAAGATACTTTAAAAATACCATCCAAAAGTGGAATAATCAGAGACCATCGAGATAGAAAAACGCCCACACAGCATTGATACCTCCCGCCTACCAATATTATCTCAACAAAAAAAACACAAAAATGATACCAAAAACACTCACAAAAACACACAGGAGGTCACCACCACACAGCCACGCAAAAACAAACCCAAAGCCACACCGAGACGAGGCACGACAACAAACCAGAAGCCATGATCAGCTGCATTTTAGCCCTTTAAACCCCTCCAATCCATACATGAAGCAAACTGACACCCTCATGAGAGGAAGCAGGACCACGAACGCGAAGCCAGAAAATAGCAAGGCAGCCCAAAATCTCAAACCCCTCTGAACTCAGACTAACCTGAGCACAACCAAACAGAACACTCCCCCAGCGAATCAGGCACACCAAGCCCCTAGCCATTCAGAGCAGAAATCCACCCAATCAGACCCAGACTTCCCTTTTATTGTAAATAAAAATAAAATCTAAACAGCTAAACTCATGGAAAACAGAAATGCTTTACGCACGAAGGGAAACTTGAATTGAAATGACGAAGAGTTTTTTAAATTTTCATTGAAGGTTAAAAGAGAAGGGGAGAAAAAATACAACCATATATAATATATATATATATATATATATATATATATAATATATGGTACAAATATAAACGAACAAAATATATAAATATAAAAATATACTTTACTAAAAGCTGCCAAGCTTTCGTTTGGAAACTCCAAACATCATCAGGGCTAAGGAGCCAGTAAACAATGATGACTTAAATGGGTTTTGCCGGCATCTGCACCCGGCTCATGGACCGCGTCACCGGTCCCGGCCGGTTAATTAGTGTTCCAGATGTTTCTTTATTACTCTCCTTACGCTTCCTTCTATGGTTCTTCCGGATCATTCCTTCCACTATCTCATTACTGGTATTCATCTCCTCCACCACCCCTTTATCCTTATTTCCTTCCATAGCACTGACCCTCCTCCCCTTTTTGTTTTCATTCTCCACCCTGGGGGCATCTGTTTCTCCTCTATCAGTGTTACAAGCTTCCCTGGGCTCACAGACGCTCCCCCACACACATGCTTTTCCCAATCCCTGCTCCACACCCTTTCTTCTCACTCTTCCACTGTCATGAGTAACTTTCATATGGGTGTTACATATTTGGGGGTCTATGCCCTCCTCCTCCGTCCTGGCAATCTTCGTGTCGACAGTTCTCCACCGTTCCATTTGTTTGCTGCGTGATCGGGTGCTTACCCCGTCTCTCAATTCATCCCTCCTCCCTATCGCACGCTCTTCCCCATTGCTGATAGGAACGGTATTTAGGCGGACACCAGGTCTCCAGATCTCTGC